TTTATTGCATCCCAATGCTCTCTTCCTGGATTCGCAAGGAAACAACTAACAACTCCAATTGCATGAGCTATGTCTGGCCTCGTACACACCATTGCATACATTAAGCTTCCTACTGCTGAGGTATATGGAACCTTTTCCATATCTTCCTTCTCTTTATCTATTGAAGGGCCTTAACTCGATCTCAACTTAAAGTGGTTAGATAAAGGAGAAGAAACCACTTTAGCTTTATCCATATGGAACCTTTCAAGTACATTGTTAATGTACAGTTCCTGTGACATGTGCAACTTCTTTCCTTTCATGTCTCGACAAATTTGAATACCAAGAATTTGTTTTGCTAGCCCTAAGTCCTTCATGGCAAATGACTTACTCAACTGATTCTTGAAATTATCAATCCTTGAAGAATTTCTACTAACAATAAATATGTCATCAACATAGAGCAATAAAATGGTAAAATCATCATCAGAGAATTTCTGCACAAAAACACAATGATCAGAAGTAGTCTTCTTGTAACCATGCTCCCCCATAACTGACTCAAACTTATTATACCATTGTCTAGGTGCTTGCTTGAACCCGTAGAGGTTTTTCTTTAACCTGCATACATACTCTTCTTTTCCTTTTACCTCAAAACCCTCTGGCTGCTCTATGTAAATCTCTTTCTCCAACTCACCATGAAGAAAGGCAGTTTTCACATCCATTTGCTCAATTTCTAAATCCAAGCTTGCTGTTAGACCTGGAACAACACGTATGGAAGACATTTTCACAACAGGAGAGAAAATATCATCAAAATCAATACCTTTTCTCTGACTGAATCTCTTGACGATCAATCTAGCTTTGTATCGTGGTTGTACACTGTGTTATTCTTGCTTCACCTTGTAGACCCACTTGTTCTTCAGAGCTCTCTTACCCTTAGGCAACTTTACCAGCTCAAATGTGTGATTGTCATATAGTGACTGCATCTCATCTTCCATAGCACCAACCTAGTGTGCCATACTTCTATCTTCCATCGCTTCTGCATAACATTGAGGTTCTCCCTCATATGTCAATAACACATACTCATCTTTATCATACCAAGTGGAAGGATGTCGGTCTCTGGTAAACCTCCTGAGTGGAATTTCTGGTTCTGGCAACTGATTAGTAGTCTAGTGATCTGTTTCAACCTGCATAGGAGCATCTGCATCATCTAAACCCTGTTGGTCATCTTGAACATTCCGTTCCATCTATACTGATAAAGGAACAGGATCTAGGTCAATCAAATCATCGCTATACTGATTGGCTCCTTTTTGTATCTTCTCAACATATTGTATAGTTTGATCTTCCATAAACACAACATCACGATTCCTTACTAGTTTTTTCTCAACTGGTTCATAAAATCTGTAGCCAAATTCATCTAGCCCATAACCAACGAAAATGCATTGTCGTGTCTTCACATCGAGCTTATATCTCTCATCTTTTGGTATATGCACAAATGCCTTGCAACCAAAAATGCGGAGATTATCATAAGAAACATCTTTGCCAATCCAAACTCTGTTTGGTACATCAAATCGAAGAGGAACACATGGTGTGAGATTAAGAACATGTACAACTATATTCAAAGCCTCAACCCAGAAAGATCTTGGCAACTGAGCCTGTGAAAGAAGACATCTTACTCTTTCAACCAATGTCCTATTCATTCTCTCAGCCAACCCATTTAACTGAGGAGTTTTGGGAGGTGTCTTTTGATGTCGAATGCCCTGATGCCTGCAGTACTCATCAAAAGGACCTGGATACTCTTTCCCATTATTTGTTCTGATGCATCGTAATTTCTTCCCAATCCGTCTCTTAACTAAGGCTTGAAATTGTTTAAACACATCTAATACTTAATCTTTACTCTTCAAAGTATACACCCATAACTTTCTTGAACAATCATCTATGAAGGTCACAAAATAACTGGCCCACCCAAAGTTCTTATTTTCATAGGGCCACATACATCTGAATGTATTAAATCAAGTATGTCTTGTTTTCTTGAAGGATGGGAACTCTTGAAAAAAACTTTATTCTGCTTCCCTGCCAAACAATGAGTACATCTTCTTAAATGAGCACCATTCATTCCAGAAAGAAGATTCTTTTTAGCCAATACTGCCAAGCCTTTCTCACTCATGTGCGCAAGTCTCTTATGCCACAATTCTGCTGTGAGCTCATATGTCACATAATTAATAATGCCTTTGGAGAGTCTTGCCTGCAGTATATACAAACTAGAATGCTTGTTCCCATGAGCAACAACCATAGCACCTTTAGTAAGTTTCCATTGTCCATTACTAAATGTATTGCAATATCCTTCATCATCAAGCTTAATTACAGAGATCAAGTTCAAACGAATTTCAGGAATATGCTTTACCCCTCTAAGAAGTAGCCTTGTGCTATTATTCATCTCCAAACATACATCTCCAATACCAATGACTTTAACCTAGCCATCATTACCTAACTTCACTGTCCCAAAGTCACCTGTTGCATAGGATGTGAAGAAGTCCTCTCGAGACATAGCATGAATGGAGGCTCCACTATCAATAAACCAACCAATCTCGTGACTTTCAACATTGACAACATCTTCATCATAAAAACGAGAAAATCTTCTGTACTAGCGGTGGCAACTCTATCATTTTCCTTGCCAACATCACCATCTTGTTCTTTTCTTTCTTCTTGTTATCCCGCTTCAACTGTCTACAATATTTTTTGATGTACCCTTTCATGCCACAGTGATGACACTCAACATTAGCAAACCTGTTGGACTTGCTTCTTCCTTTTTCTTTGTTCTTGAAAACTTTGCTTTTACTCCTCCCTCTTCTTTCTTTAACCAAAATCTCTGACTGCTGAGAAGATCCTTGTGATTTTCTTCTCATTTCTTCATTCAAAACACTGCTCTTAGCCAGATCCATGTTGATTACACCATTTGGAGCTGAGTTACTTAATGACATTCTGAATGTTTCCCAAGAGTTCGGCAACGCACCCAATAAACACAACCTCTGAATCTCATCATCAAACTTAATACCCATCCCAGCTAACCGATTGATTATTCCTTGGAACGTATCCAAGTGATCTATCAACGGAGTTCCATCTTGATACCTTAAAGCCATCAACTGCTTTATGAGAAACATTTTATTATTACCCATTTTCCGAGCATACAACTCCTCAAGTTTATTCCAGAGTGTTCGTGCATGTGTTTCCCCACTAATATGGTTCAAAACATTATCATCTACCTACTGCCTTATATACCCACAGACTTGTCGATGTAACAAAGTCCATTCTTCTTCAGACACCTTTTCTGGCTTCTCAGAGGCAAACACCGATAAATGAAACTGTTTGACATAAAGGAGATCTTCCGTTTTTCCTTACTAAGTGTGATAATTAGAACCATTTAAAGTAATCATTTTACTCAAATTTGCTTCCATTATTCAATACAAGATATTCAACAATAATAACCACGGCTCTGATACCACTTTGTTGGGGATTGAGACAATATATCAAACAAGCATCGAAAACAACTAATTCAATCCCTCAATGTGCAGAATTAAAATGGCAGGAATAAAACCAGCTCCAACAACTCACACACACTAGCAGGAATATAAATTGAACGCCGAAATTTGTTAACGAGGAAAACCCTACGAAGGGAAAAACCATGTGACCTAGTCCAGTAAAAGAGCCATCCACTATGAAAAATAATGGGATACACAATAATCTTTTCTAGAGCCAACTCCAAAAGCTACCACTACATTAAGAACACATCTAGTTATTGGATATCAACAACAACAACATACTAAATAGA